TTTTTTTTTTTCCACATTCTGTCTCTCACAGTTGAAGTGTACCTCTGGTGCAAATTACTGACCTCTGTCATCATTTTAGGTGGGGGAACTTGCACAATCGGTTCAGTATTAACATTCAGTAGCAACATCACAGACATCATTTATTATGTGTTGTGAATCCAACTTTGTTTTCTTTCACATGTTATAACTCAAGAAGACACTCTCAGTCTGGAGTCTAAAACCTTGTTGGTGCCCACCACAACACATCAATAATGCCTAAAACAAGCAAAATCCTGATGCGTTATCAGGTGGTTGAGTCTTACCAGGGAAATAGCAAAAGTTGTAAACCTGAACCATAAAGTCCGGCTCAGACTTTTTGCGCAGATTGTACACACAAACATAACATGCTTAGATTTAGCGTGTCTGTAAATCTGAGAGTCTACTTACTTATATGACTACAACTTGTAAATTGCATAGGTTGCCTGTCCTGAAGCACACCCTGTGTTATTGCTTTTATCCAAATTTGTCTTACATGTTTTTTTAAAGATCAATTTTGTGGCTTTTTGCCTTTTTTAACAGTTGAGCGGTGAAGAATAGACATGAAGGAGATGGAGAGAGCAGGGGAAGGGCAAAGAGCTGACGGTTAACATTAAACCTGGGCTGCTGCATTTCAGCATATGGGCACCTGCTCAACCAGTGAGCTAAAATGATTGCCCTTTTTTTTGGTTACACTAATGGGATCATAAACCTCATATTGTGTTCAATAAGTGAGACCATAAACTCTTTAGGAAAGTGGCAGTGATTTGACAAAAATAAACTGCTCCATGTACCTGTAGCTGCAAGTTATTTTAAAGTAGAGTACCCCTCCAAGTCAGAGTTCACAACAACTAAGTGTTTGTTTGTTTTTTGCTTACTTTCAGAAATGCCTCCTCTCCAACTAAGGGGTTAAATTAAGTTCTCAAAAACTTAATAAAGACTAAAAGTGGTACTCACTCCCAAGGTTGCTAGTCCTTGGAGAAATTTCAGCTGTAGAGAAGCAGTTTAAATATAGAATAACACTCAATTGTAAGATAACACTCACTTTTTCAGAACCTGTATCTATTCGTTTTGATAATCTGGTAGTGGGGAGTATAATGTGTCTGAGGGATGTTACCCTGGTGGACTAGCAGCAAAAGACTATGTTGAAGCTTTAAGTTTGACATTAGTGTGTCAGTTTGGTAAATTCTCCCATTAAATATATTATGCCCCTTCACATGTGGCTTGGTTTTCTATTCAGATTAAATGTGTGCCTCAGTTCTTCAAACTACATGACAGCATCAGAGTTTGATGACTACAGATGTATAAAGCACCCTAGGACACTAAACTTTAAATGAAGCATACATGCATACATGCATACATGCATACATGCATACATACATGCATACATACATACATGCATACATGCATACATACTTTTCACATCAATCAAATTTAATCATATGCTTTACAATAGGACTCTTTGTTTACTTTTTTTTTTTGTTTACTTTTGCAGTAAAATATATTTTGTGTCTACATACAGATTGATTGTCTTTTCTTGTAGTAATGGTTGCCCATTCCTCTACAGGGAAGAAAAAAAAGTAGCCAAATTCCCCAAAAATGCTAAACTGTGGATTTTACTTCACTACTCGTGGATCAAAACCCTCATCAGAAACACATGTCACTATTTAACAAACTAACTGCTGCAGAAAGGAGATGATTTTATTAGGAGAGATAAATAACTGGGCAGCAGCATCATTAAAAACTCATCAGTCAGGAGTGAGCCAAAGAGATGTGACCATTGTTCCCATTAATGAGGGTTTACAACAATAATTACAGCAAAATGAAACACTTTCTGAATGTTTTTACTCTCAGGCTTTTAAAGTTCAGCTAACACACAAACTTCAACACAGGTGGTGTCCATCCAGAAATGTTTGATAAAAACTTATCAAGTTTGACGCACTGACTGTTTTTGAGATTTTCCTTTTTGGTGATACTTTGACATTAAAATGACTATAAAACTGAACTGAATTCACACAAACTGCAGATAAACTGATTAAGTGTCCCCTACTACCAAAGCCATGAAGCCATTTCAAAATAAAAGCCCGTCTCTCTCAGCAAAAGTAAGTAAACAAACCTGCCTGCCATTACAGCTGGAGGGCTGAACAAAGTCAATGAGAACATCTGCATATGAACTCAAAGCCATTACCTCCATTTAACATTGACTCAGTGAGGAATGATGGATCGCCAGATGCTATTTTCATTAGATAAAGGATTTTGCTTTGTATTTCCACGTTTAAATGCAGTTTTTGTCCTGTTGACAAAAAAAATAAATAAATAAATTCTCTGTCCATCTTCACATTAATCACCATCTGAGCTTTCTTGTCTGTAACTCAGCACAGAGAGAACATGCAAACACAAAGGACATGTTTAGTGGCATGCTCCCATTAATAATCTGTAGTAATCTGACTTTCTGTCCTGATATCCTGTATTTGCATAAGACTTCAGTGAAACTGTAGCTTCATGTTAAACACAGAATGTTGAAAAACATCCTATAAAAGTACAAATCCAGTAAAATAAATAAATAACACTCAGACGGGACTTTCTTTTTTAAAATTTAGCAAACATGTTTCTGTATAACTCAAGAATTCACATGGTAATTTTGAAAAAAAAAATCCAATAACATAAAATCATCAAGTGTTTATAGTTCATACCTAAAAGCTGAAAGAATGGCTTCACTGTGGGGTTGGGAGATTGACCTACTTTTGAAGCTAATCTCAAGTGGACATTGGAGGAACTGCAGGGTTTGACACTTCACCGTTTCCTTTTTTTCTTGCCATGGATGTTGATGGTTGGATGTGCCCATATTTCCCATTTGATCAGTCACTAGGTTTAGAATTTTGATGCACATCTGTTAATGTCTTCACTACGTTTATCAGACAAATGTATACTGCAGCCTGAAAACCATAATAGTACAGTCTTTATTCATTTCTGCCCAAGTGCAACATGGTACATTTAACTCACTGATTTGTCAATGAAAAAGAGATCCAATGTATTGTTACATCTGATTAAGAGAATCATCAAGTGGATTTATTATTTTGTTGTTTGTGTGTTGCTCAGAGTTAACGAACATTGTGAAAAACATGTAATACCATTGTCCGCTCCTCTTCACTTTCTCTGCAGGAGAAAAACTCTCCCTGAATACTATCCAGGTGATGTTGAACTTCGTCAAGGACAACCCGCAGCTCCTCAAAGAATTGAATTTGGACATGGAATCAGACGTAGATTTGGAGGAGTTCAAAACCATATTGAACAGACTCCCTGGTCAGTGATGAGGAGATTTTCTAGATTTTATATGCATCTAGCTTTTCTTGAATCTTCTATGCAAGAAAAACCCATCCCCTGTAGGAATAATTAACATTTTTATGTATTTTAAATGTTGAATTTAAATGTCTTTTTTTTTCTTTCTTTTTTTTAATGCAGCAACATACCACAACAACAGTCAAGGCGCTTTATTTTGTAAGGTAGACTGATAATACATACAGAGAAAATAATCATATGACCCCCTATGAGCAAGAACTTTGGCAACAATGGGAAGGAAAAGCTCCCTTTTAACAGGAAGAAACCTTCAGCAGAACCAGGCTCAGGGAGGAGCGGCCATCTGCCGCGACCGGTTGGGGTGAAAAGCTATGAGCATCGTTTTTGTTTTGTTAATTTAAGATTTTCTCTGTACAGAAAAATCTGATTAAGGAAAAGGCAACTAGCAGAAACAATGTAGCAAATGGTCTGCTTATGTTTGTTTATTTATTTTGTTGTATGTCTGTGTGCGTCTCTCCTGTTTTGACCTTATGGGTCTGTGTGTGTGTCTGCAGAGCACGTGAAACAACATTTGTTGAGCAAGACCAGCTTGGATCTTCCCTACACCTCAAATGTTCATTCTGATGTTCCACAAAGACAGGATATCCTACAGCCCCCCATGCCATTAGTGCAAGGGCCCAAAGGAGGTAAAATCTGAACTAAAGCATATTTTTAAAAGGGTTATATGCTAAAACAAAAAGAAACAAAAAAAAATAAAAGAAAATAGGTGAGGAAAATTTCTACTTATTTTATCTGTGTTCCAGCCTCAGTAACTTTGACACAGTAACATCTGCTGAAATTTTTACACCTCTGATGAAATGTCACAAGCGTTAGCTTTATTTTGATACCAATATTGTTTGCACAGACTTTGTAATTGCAGAGAAATACCCCATTCATTTTTGACATGTCATTTTTGCCACTGTCAGCTATCGTTATCCTTTAAAAGGGACTGTTCATGGCATTGGGGAAAGTTTCTTTAAAGTGGATGCAACTTTGCATCCATCTAATGCTTAGTGAATAAACTCATACAAAATGAGAATGTAATCAAACTATTTATCAGCAGGAAAAAATAATTATTTTTTATGAAAGCCCAACATGAGCTGGTATAAATGTTTTCTGTTTAGTTAGCCAGCTCTAATCTCATCAGCTGTCATCTAAAGTAATTTATTTTTAATATGTAAATTAATTACAATTGTTGGAGGATGCAATTAGATGTTAAATGACCTCAAAAAAAATTAAGGGCATATGACATTGGTAAGATTCAAAAACTAAATTTTCCAAATAAAAACACAAAGTAGATCAGTATTAACCGCAGCCTAAGAGCCTCCTTATGGACCAGAGTGCCTGGGTGAATCAGCGGCCCAGACAGAGTGTTCCTCTGAGAGAGAGAGAGAATTTGCTCATGGTGGCTAAATGAAACCAGATCCGAGCTCACGCAGCTCAATGTAGCCAGCCAACAGATTCCCAAAATAATATGCAAAAGCTGTCACCTGCTCACAGGGCTGTTTGCTTGGTCACGTTAGACAAAATTACATGATGTCTTTGCTATGATACTCAGTAAGATTACCAATACACTGCCTCTTTTGCTTTTTGGGTCCTTATAATAAATACAAGTAAATAAAATATTTATTTACTTTGTTTTTATTATTTATTTATTCATTCATTTTTTTAGGGCCTTGTAACTAAAGTAACTAAAGTAAATAGTTTCTTTAGTAAAGTAATGGTGCATTGGTACATATTTTTAAGCAGTTTATATGTGACAGAAGTATTCATGTACTTTATATCTCACAAACTGACAAATGCCAATAATATATTAAAAGTTAAAACTCCCAGTACCATTAGAAATGAGTAGACTCACTCTGTAAACAGAACTGAAAGCAAACTAAATTTAGGACAAACATGTGAAGCTAATGGAAAATGCTAGACTATTAAAACTCCTGTTGTTGGCTTGATGGTTGTTTGCTGTCTTGGTTTATTTATCAGATAAAAAAAAAAAACTACCAGGCTGAATTTCATCAGACCTAGTGGAGAGGAAAAGCATGGGCAATAAAGACAAAAAAAAATAAAATAAAATAAAAAATTGCAGGGCATGGTGCTCTCAATGGTGCTTCGGAACCCAAGCCGATCTAAACTTAATGTCAAATGGATTAGCCAGGGTTGGTATTCCCAAACATCCTAAGACCCCAAAAGTTCACCAAGGACTTATAGGACTTGCAGACTTATAGAAACAGATTTGATTACAGTGTTCATAGGACATTCAGTGCAGAGGCTTTTCACCAGTATAAAATGACCACCATTTGTTGCTGATCTTTTTGCATCTGTCCATCCCCGCCTCTGTCCTTCTCTCTTCTATATGCACTCTAGCTTTCTCTGAGATAAACGCAATGTTTCAGATTACATGTGGTAAGTCAGGCGTAGCAACAAATACCTTTGAAAACAATATTGAGAAGCTAAATTAGAATAGAGACTAGAATATAATAGAATAGCCCTTTATTGTCATTGTACACTTCAACAAAGTCCATTCTGAAAACCACTTGCCTTTTACGGATGCTGATTTTTGAAACATTGAAATATTACATTGCAATCAGCCAGTGATGTATAAGTGATAAGAACAGGAGCAGATGAGACAGACAACAGAAAATATCTGAGTCCTTCTCACCCTCTCACTTCGTCTGCCACTTGAGAAGAGACCAGGTAAGTAAGGGGAAACCACACCCATTGAAACATTTACCAGAAATTAATATCACCATGGTAACAAATGTGAGACAAAGAAATAATCCAAAGGAACTACATCCGCAAAACTCAAAAATACACATTTTGGTCCCTACATCAGGAAAATGGAGTGTAAATCACAGAAAATGTAATTTACTGCCTTCCCTGTCACTTCAGAGAAAATACATTTAGGGATACTTGGGTGGCAAGATGTTCTACTTATCATGTAATGCTGTCAAAGTGACTTCAAAATATAATTAGTAATGGCTGTGTGGTGAAGAGTTAGTGTGCAAAAATCAATACCTCATAAGTAAAATTCCTTCCAATAAATCTGACACTTTTTAAATTAATAATTCGACAACCCAGACCGTCTTCAGCTTCTTTATCGATCAGTCTGCTAAAGTCTGACACCATTATGCTGTCGGTTTCAATCCTCCTGACTGCCCAAACTTTATTTTTGTTTGTTCTAAATGTAGAATGTTGCTCAAACGATGAGACGACGCTGGTGAAACGACTGTTCACTGGTTACAACAAAGTGGTTCGTCCTGTTAACCACTTCAGTGAAGCTGTAGTGGTTACTGTGGGATTACAGTTAATACAGCTTATAAGTGTGGTAAGTCTGTAACTCTTTGTCTGCATTTTACATGAAGAAAGATATGACCAGCTGTCACCACTGTGTTGTTTCTTGACTTTGACCTTTTGACTGTAATTGCAGTTTCTCTAAAAGGACAAACAATCAATCAACAATTGTTGGCTTAAATTTCAAATACTAACCAATATAATGAAATTACAATAACCAAAGATTTTTGATTATGGAGGAGCTGGCCTTAAGGTGTTCAATGAAAAGGACTATGGTGACAGGGAATGATTTGTTCACAAAGGTAAATGCACCTTCATAGTCTTAGGCTGAAATTGGACAAACTGGAAAGTGTTACAGATGATGACTGTCTAAATCAGACAGGGAAAAATGCTGCAAGACACAGTAACTGAAATGAACCCAGAAATTACTTGTTGTTGATGTTAGGACTAAAAACTGGGCAAAGGCACTGAATCACAGACATTGTTGCACTTTTGAGTCACTATGGTTAGACCACTTAGGGGAAAAAAAGAAAGAAAAAAAAATCAAGCAGTGGTCTGTCTTTATTTATTATTTATTTTCTCAAAGAGAAGAACTTTACGCACGGAAAAGGAAATATGCTTAGACGATACTGGTTCTCTTTGGATCTGCCTTCATATATGAACAAACATTTTCTGTGGTGAAGTTCAAGCTAATCCAGATCCTCTCGTGGTCATGATCACATGCCTGCTGTCCTTCATATTACAACCTCAAACGTTGGAGTTGACTGCAGTGCACGTGTTCAAGCCCAAACAGACCAGATTTCTCTCAATGAACAGGGGGAAAAAAAGGAAAAAAAAAAACCTTAAAACTGCAGATTAGATCATAAAACTGAAAGTAAAATAGCATTAGCACAGAGTTAGATTAAAATTTGTTTTGGGTAATGTTGAATCAATAATGATAAACTAAGTGCCTTTATTATCCCTGTTTTACATTTTCATTGCCTTATTGTGGGATCTACACTTAACAGTAACATTTATAAAGAGATCAAAATAATATTGAGCAGAACTGAGTTGAGCTTATTGCTGCATTGCCCCACAACTTTCTCAGCTTATCATGTGGCCCCAAAAAGTAATTAATGCAAACATATGTAACTCCTGCCAAATAAGTGCACAAAATTGACAGAGGTTAAAGGAACACTGTCTTTGACTGAAAAATAAAGTATTTAGAGAGGAGTCATGTGTCAATATGATCCCAAGCTTTTCTTTTTTGACTGTATTCAACAGCAAAGCAAAATAATAAAAAGGACCATACATAATTAAATCTCAGTCAGTGCCACAGAGATAATACCATTATTCTGGAAAGAAATTATTATACCAAATGTTATGAACTGGATAAGACAAACAAAAGAACATACGTAATGAAGTCTTTAAAAGATGAGGACTTCCATGTGCTGATTTGGAGGACCAGTTATGTTTTTGTAGTGCCCTGTATAAAACTGGAACTCCAAAGAGTGGACATTTTCCATTATATAAAATTAGAATAATTCATATCAAGTCATGCAGCAATATCACTTTGGTTGGTACTGAACACACCAAATCTGTTCTGAAAACCTAGATAACACATGAAGAAACCAAGAAACCAAGAGAGTCAAATAACACATATGATAAGAGATATCACGCCACAAGCAGTTACTTAATCTGCCACATACATACCCAAATCTCATTTATACCAGGAGATGACAAGCCAACCAAACAACCAAGGTGTTTTGGGGGTGTAGACACCCTGTTAAGACCAAGACTTGAACTCAGACATGTTCCACAGACATCCTGTTAATCTTTTAAGCCCCAAGCCTAACTGATCTCCTGCCTTTTGACCCCCGTATCAGGGGGTGTTGGGGCTAAAGAGGTTAATGAGAATACAATGCAAAAACGTGACAAGCTGCCATCTAAGGGTTACACCCCAGCATAGCACCAAACTGGTACTTGACTATTCCAGCTATGGCTGAATTTAAGACACAAGAACCAGGATAACAACAAACATATAGGATGGCACAGCAGCCTCAAAGAAGCAATACAGGTATAAATAAAACAAAATGAGCAACTGTCATTGTGTGTGGCTCTCCTTCTATGCTTATTAAGTCCATGAAGATGACTAGGTTTGACAGTCTCTGGGACAGTCCCTTCATCCATTTTATTCCTCTTAAGAGATGGAAAAAGTCTTCTCGTTTCTTCTTCTCACTTCAGTTTTACTCCAAGCAGTTTATAGTGGACAACAAATTAGTATTACCAGTGCTGACAAAAAAGATGAAAAGTTAATAACGTCAAGAGGGTACTGCTTTGTATGCCAAACCAAAATAAAATAATCATAAAAATGTTTGTATCTCGTGTTAACTAAAAAATGTAAAATACAAAAACATGAGAAAGTGTTTGTTAAAATTTTAGTTAATTTAAATCCATTTTAGCCTGAAACATGAATGCTAGTTCACAGTTGGCTAATTTCCCTGTTAACCACAAAACCAAGGAAAAAAATTTTTTTCAAGACATGAGCAATGCCAATTCCCAACCTGTTAAACCCCAACGCCCCCAAAGCCGGGGGCAGGAGGGGGAACATCTGGTTTCATGGACCGTTTCTCAATATACATACTTGTGTGTACCTGCGTTCACGTGGACTTGTGATATGTCATCAGTCGCAGACCAAATATGCTTCCAAATCAAAGTACGCATCAAGTATGCTCAGAATTCCTGGATGTGTTCTCGCTCCTTCCATTTTATCAAGCATCGGTGGTGGCTTGGGTGAACTTGGTACAGCCAAATATCCCAGAATGTATTTTGTCCAAAACTCAAACGCGGCAATGGTGGAGGAGGGGAGCTAAACTTTTAAGATATTTCCAGGTGAGAATGTACCTGTGTAAACTTCAAATATCTGCTCGATTTATAAAGACATCGCATATTTGCAAAATTGCTCTGACATTTTCGGAGACATCTGTTACCCCACCAGCTCAATACCTCAGCGGTCCTCAAACCCAGGGCCACAGACCGGTACCGGTCCGTGAGTTGTTTGGTACCAGGCCACGAGAGTTGAGGCTCGGGTGTGAAATTTATGGTTTTCAGGGATTTTATTATTTTTCAATTGTTATTTTTCTATGGTTTTTATCTTTAACTCTGTTTCCCTGGGTCTTTTCCCATGTGTTATGACTAAATTTTCCTTTTTTTGGTACCGGTATTGGTTTTATTTTGTTGTATTTACAGCGACACCTTAGAGGACGGTCTGTGAAAATATTATTACTGGGCCGTGGCGCGAAAAAGGGTGGGGACCGCTGCAATAGTGACAGGGTGGTCAAGGCTCACTGGAACCGGCGAGAACAGCGGACTCCCGGTACATCGTTTTTAACCCCCCAGCGGTTAACTACACTTCTGATAGATAACTAAAATATGGGGTGATGCCAGCAAGAAATTAAACAAGAAAAAAGATGTTACCATCATTTTGTTTTGTTTTTACTTTTTACTTTTTAATACAGGTCATGTAAACATGTATGTGGGGTAGACATCACAAAATAAATTGTCATAAAAATGTTTTCACCTGTTCTTGACCTTTTTGTCTTTTCCCAGGATGAAGTTAACCAAATTGTGACCAGTAATGTCCGTCTCCGACAGGTAAGTCTGTGTGTCTACAACTGGCCATGCATTATAACTTTAAGTGGGACTACACACCATTTGAAGGTTGGCCTAATGCTATGGACATCAGTGAAAGTTACAAGTTACCAGAAAATCACAAGCTTCGCAGCTTTTGATGAATATGATGCAAAGCAATGAAGAAAATAAGTCATAAAAAATAAATTAAAATATAATGTAATTGATTTCCTCCCAGCATTCCACTATGTCCCACACAAGCACTGTGTTTGTCCCACAGTTACTTTACTGGGATCTGGTCATCCCATTTAATCCTCTAATCGGCATCACATAGCTAAATACAACCTTAGAAGTGAAATAATGATCTAAAATTTTTACTCACTTTACAGCAATGGGTAGACGTTAACTTACGGTGGAATCCTGAAGACTATGGAGGAATCAGAAAGATCAGAGTTCCTTCATCTGACATATGGAAACCTGACCTTGTGTTATACAACAAGTAATTTTCATTTCTCTTTGTGTTAAAAAAAGCAAACAAACCTATATTTGGTGGTGGTGGTGGGGGGGATTAATGACTTGCTGCTCCACTTACATGCTTGGTTTTCCTTTGCCTCTGTCCTCTACCCTCCTTTTTATCTGCAGTGCTGATGGTGATTTTGCCATCATCCATGAAACTAAAGTCCTGCTAGAGCACACTGGCAAGATCATATGGAACCCTCCAGCCATCTTTAAGAGTTACTGCGAGATTGTTGTCCTTCACTTCCCATTTGACCTACAGAACTGTACTATGAAATTGGGAACCTGGACATACGATGGCCTGCTGGTCGTAATCAACCCGGTGAGCGTAAATGCTTTTTTTTAATCTGGGAATTTAGACTGTGTGCAAAACAGCTGAACGTGGGGACGCTAAAATGTTTGTGAACCACTGTCTTTTAGGAGAGTGATCGACCTGACCTCAGTAACTTCATGGAGTCAGGTGAATGGGTGCTAAAGGACTACAGAGGGTGGAAGCACTGGGTGTACTACACTTGCTGTCCTGACACACCATACCTGGACATTACCTACCATTTCCTGATGCTGCGGCTGCCTCTCTATTTTATCGTTAACGTCATAATTCCCTGCATGCTGTTCTCTTTTCTCACGGGATTGGTCTTCTACCTGCCTACTGACTCTGGTATGTTCATTCTGCAAGCTTGATAGGTAACAGAAAACAATTGTCAGTGATTATTTTTTTCACATTATTTTGAACGTAGAGGTGATTCACTTTCTCTGCAGGTGAAAAGATGACTCTCTCCATCTCTGTCCTGCTGTCTCTGACTGTCTTCTTGCTGGTTATTGTGGAGCTGATCCCCTCCACTTCGAGTGCTGTTCCCCTCATAGGGAAATACATGCTCTTCACAATGGTAATGGTCATTGCCTCCATCATCATCACTGTTATCGTCATCAACACACATCATCGCTCACCAAGTACGCACACCATGCCAGGGTGGATCCGTAAGGTTTGTATGGGGGTATTTTTTCTCTCTCCACTTGTAATAAATGGGAAATATTGTTGCTGTTTTATAAGACTAGTAATATCATAATTTTATCTCCCTGCATCTCAGGTCTTCATTGAAACCATTCCCAACATGATGTTCTTCTCAACAATGAAGCGTCCCAGTCAGGAGATCCGGCAGAAGAGGCTGTTCCCTACTGACATGGACATTTCCGACATCTCAGGTGAGGCTAAACTGCATGCAACTCCCATTACCATTATTGCATGCTAGTGAACAGTTTTAGTTTAAGTCTGTCCTAAAATTGTTGACCTTCCTCTCTCCTCTGTAGGTAATCCTACCCCGACGGCTGTCACCTATCAGTCCCCCATTGTTAAAAACCCTGATGTTCGTAGCGCAATCGAGGGGGTGAAGTACATCGCAGAGACTATGAAGTCAGATGAAGAATTTAACAATGTAAGAGAAAATCTGCATGAATTATTGATAGTGTATCAATCCATAAAATTTCTTAGAAGTTCAGAGCCTTGCATTCAACTCCCCAGCCATTCTTGTGCTTCTCTAAAACTTAAAAGAATCTACAAGTGTAGGCACAGTAATCAAAACTTTTTACATTTCTGCTCTGAATCTGGATCTAAATGAAATGGCCAAAAAGACAATGGTTTAATGGTTTAATGGTTTAATTAATTAAATGGAAGGTTAGAATGACAGTAAGTGTGCCAAACAGTGTGGCCCCAGGAAGTCACCCCATCTGGGGAAACTCCGTCTAATCCACAGTTCTCCAAAAAACAACTACTTGTTATTTCATATTAATAAAACTAATATAATGTTTTGAATGTATAAGCTTACTGGCTTCTACATTCTAGATTAATCATTTCTACACCGAAGAGAATGACAGGAGTCTTTCTTATCTTCTGCCAATAAATGTAGTCCACAAAATCATATCTGACAGATAACTGGGCAACATTAGGTAATCTGATTTTCCACATCTTTTAGTAATGTTATTGATTCAATTGAAAAGCTTATCTCTTTTTGTGTCCTAGCAACTGATCAGTAAATTCCAAATATGTGAATGCTCAAAGTTAAAGTTTCTTCCATACCGTCTTATTGCAGGCAGCAGAGGAGTGGAAGTTCGTTGCCATGGTTTTGGATCACATCCTGCTCTGTGTGTTCATGGCTGTGTGCATCATCGGGACTCTTGCCGTCTTTGCTGGGAGACTCATTGAGCTCAACACACTGTAGAGGCCTTCATGATGGAGGAGAATGCATTTATCCCACTGTCCCTCACGCACAGATATGCAGTCAAAGGTCGAGCTAATTTCAAAATTCTGTTCAGGGCCTTTAATTGTGTTGACTTTGAATGTGCAGATATTTTTTACTTTTATTGAGGAGTCTGCAGTAAAAAATCCAGGCATCTCACAGGTATGATGATACACAAATATCTTGATGGGTTATACTGGGTCACACAAAGCTGTTCTTGTTATTAACAATCCAGCATTTTTCTATTGTTTCTCTTGTATTTCTACAGTTGGTGATTGCTGCCCTCACAATTGCGCAGACTGTTATTTTACATGTAAAATCACGAACAGTAGTTGTTACGTTGTCATATTTGGCAGCTTGATTTAAGGTTTGTGTGATTGGTTTTCTTAAATGTTATTGTCAGATGTTGTCTTGGATTATTTTCCCCTTGGAACTTTTATTGATTGGTTTTGCCAGACGTTCAGTTTGACAATATCTTAAGGGTTTTTTTCTACTATACTCACAAGATAATAGCAAGGTTTTATCAAGTAAATTTTTCCAAAATATGTTAAAGTCAAGCAGATCTTTAGTTACCCTATAGCAAGTAAAAGTGGTTCAAATAATTAAGATTGGTTAGTCAGCTTTGATTCCATTAAGTGAAAAACAATGGAAATACCACAGCTGCAGTATTGGCCAATGTGCTTTAACAAGCTAAAGACAGCTTGATGTATGTATGCAGCTGCGACAGACCATTTATTTTAGTATAATGATATGGTTCAGTCCTGCTGTCTGTGTTAATCATTTGTTTGTTTGTTTTTGTTTTAATTTGTAGTTTTCTAGATGTGGAATAAAGTGAAAAATAACATTTTGTTTTAGTGTTATGAAGTTCAGATTACACTGACAAATCACTGGATGTTTTCATTTCTTGTCTTGTTCAAGAATCCAGTTTAATTTGTTTTTGTGTTGTTTTCTTACTTGGAAGAAAGGTATATGGTGGTCACAAAAGGACAGCCAGGGTCAACAATAGTCAGTGTGTCATTACACCACCACCAGATATTACCTGAACTGCTGATTTAAGGCAGGATGTTGTTTTTGTCAAATTCTGACCATATTGTCTTAATTTGCAGGAGAAAGCGAGACTTATTTGACCACCCAATATTTTTCCAGTCATCCATTGTCTGATTTTGATGAGCATGTGTGAACTGTAGCCCCAGTTTCCTGTTCTGAGCTGGCAGGAGTGGCACCTGGTGGGTTTGCTGCTGTAGCCCATCTGGTTCAAGGTTCCATGTGTTTTGCATTCAAAGATGCTCTTCTACATTCGTTAGTTGTAACGACTCATTATTTGACTAGATATTTTCTCATTTTCTGACTATTCTCTGTAATCCCCAAAAATGATTATGGAGGATAATCCCAATAGATCAGCATTTACAACAGCACCAACAATTACACCACCTTCAAAGTCACTTAAATCACCTGCCTTCCCCAGTCTGGTGGTTGGTTTGAACTTCTGCAGGTCATCATTGCCATGTGCACCTGATTAAATGGAAAAACAATGTTCAGTTGCTGCCATGTGACTGGCTGATTACACGTGTTAATTACACGCATTAACACGCACTTGAACAGGTGTGCCTGGCAGTGAGTGAAAGATGGTCAAAGTAAATTTGGTTGTTCATAAAACCCATTTAGAGTGCACAACCTGTGACAGAATAATTAATAAGTCCACTAAAAATCACAAGTGGTGTCTGACAGTGAACTGAAAAGTTATTTACGGTAATCTAAGAGAAGGATCATAATATTTAGGATCAAAACAATTAACAAAACACAACCACGGCAGTCCTTTGTTGTTGAAAAACTCTTTATTGGGCGTTCCAAGTGCAAATTTAATGACAAAAAGCATGGGTAGAAATCCCATTTGATAAATTTAGGAAGGCAAAAACAAAACTACAAACGGAAAAGAAACAAGTATTACACATCAGGATGCGAGACACCATGTTGAGGATCTGGGACATTCTTTAAATATTTAACAGGCAGCCTCATATTTTGAAGTTATACACATATTTCACCAGCATGTAAAAATACCAAAAACGGTTTGTTGATATTGGAAGCATTAAGCTAACCACAAGTCAGTAAGATGCTGCAGCTACCAGTTTTTTCCCCAACTTTGTAAAACAATCAGATGAAGGGAAATAACGGGATTAAAAAAAAAATTTAAAAATTCAAGTGATACTCTACGTGTCATGACAGGAGACTTGAAATTCACAAAGTGTTCTCTCCTTAACATTTGACCAAGGTTTAGCCAAAAATATTCTTGCCTCTGGATTCTTTGGGCTGTCCCAATCCTACCAGCCAACTTTTGGCAAAACTATTTTCCCCACGTCATCAGGGTGTGTCTCTGGGACCCAACCTGTGCAACACAGGTGATGCAGGACATTTACATTTGCATAGACACTCACCATTTCTCCTGGTTCCACCTAATAACACAACAAGCCAAAAGAAGAATTAATTCCCATCCCTTAAGCTATACAGCTAGGACTTAGAATAATGGCACCAGGTACCTACTGTGAACATTTAGAATGAACGTAAACACCGAGACGTAAACTCTTTCAATATTTTATGATCTAATGTTTACCGAAACAGAATCAAGGAATACACTTAAATAGCTGTGAACACAATGGCAATAAAAGGTTAAGTGAGTACATTTTAAAAAAAATGTCTGATTTACTAATAAAAACACTGTATAGCCAAATAAATAAAATAAAAATATAACTCAGTGCAAATGACGACGTGAAGTAGAGACGAAGCAAAGCAATGGATTTGGCAAATTATAATCCTAACTGAGTAAAACCATTGGCAATGAAAACATACAGATAAACTGGCAGCTTAAGCTCAAAGTCGTTTGTTTCTTCTGCTTGCTATACAGAAGTTTATTCAGCAATTTTTTCATTGTTATCAGCTAATAAATATTAATGTTATAACTAAGCTAATAACAGTTTTTGACAGGCAATATCTTGCAGACATTGATTAAAAGTAAGAGCTTAGTTTAAATGTATTCTGCACAAAGATGGCAAGGAAAAATAGAGTCAACATGTTTCCTCTGGTTAATCTAATTTTCCAGATTTGATGGCCAGTTTGTTTCAATCCAGCCACAAAATGAGAGAACACACACACACACATGCAGATTATAAAGGAAATAAGAGTAATGAGAGTCATGTTACCCGTTTCCATCAGCATCAGAAAAGTGGTGAATACCATACCAATTGGTAGAGCACAGATTCTTTAGCGTAACAGTTGAAGTTAAACATTATTTAAATTCATTCTCTCAGCCTCTTTTTTAAAAAAAAAAAAAAAAAAAAAAAAAAGTGAGAATGAGTCTTTTTCCCCCTCTTTCAGTGAACATACTACAGCTAATTGTTTCTGTAATAAGCATCCTTCCTTTCCTTGATGCAATATTAGCCACACTCTGGTTTACTCCCCTCATTCAGCATTCAGTTTCAGTACTTTTGCTTCCAATAGATTTAAATGCAACTAACTGCTCATATCTCATTATTGGCAGTCTGGGACAAAGATCCAGTAATATAATGAAAACAAAAGAGAAACAAAAAGCATTAAAATGTATGGGAATAAAAGCATACATGCATCAGCATTGGCTAAACATCACTATAACAGACGGTATCCAAAGAGATAAATGTTTTTTTATTGTCAGCCTGAAATATAGGATCAGGGACTTAAAATGGAAGATGAAAAAGCCACAGCAGCATCAGCCTGAAACCTAACAGCATACTTGTATGCACATACTGTAAACACAACAGAAGCTGTTCTGATTCACAACAGGTTTATCCTGAGATGGACTTCATGTGTTATGCATGTCAGTGTTTGGATAGTGTAGGAAAATCCAGTGTTTCCCACACTGGATAAGGAGTGTTTGTGTTGACCTTTCGCTACAACTATCTGACATTCTCACCCACTTCAGGAAGTCATTTTAATCAGCAGTAATTCTCTTTTTAACGTCATTTCATCTGAGGAAAAACAATGTGTGAACCAGCAGTTCTATCTAAAACACTTTTTCTTATCAAAACCATACAGCATCCAACTACATTGACCCTAAAAGGACCTTAGAGTGTAAATCGTTACTTTAAGTTAGTCAGTGCACCTACAGAGCAATATCACCAATCAACCAACTACACAACAGAGAAATAGCCTTAAAATTCAAACTACAACCCTCAATCTGACTCCTTCCCAGTCATCGGATCAAACTCATGACCAAGATATGTTGGCATCATTTTTGGCAATACTGTTGGACAATTTCACTAATAAATATAAATAATGATGATGGTAATCCTTGTCCATCAATGCTGCTTTTAAATATCAATAACTATCCTGGCTATTACCATCACCTTCTGCCTGGACAGAACAATCACATCCTTGTGGACCTTTTCTGGCCTCTTAGAAACTACGATGGCTGAGCTCCTGTCTCACAGGGGCTGCTGCGACTCTGCTCTGGTTTATCCTCGGCCACCTCTTCCTGAACAATTTCTTCTTCTTCTTCTTTCTCTTCCTCCTTCTGCTGCAGCTGATCCTGCTCCTCTAATGGGCACTCGCTGTCTACTTCTTTAGTGATTCCTTCACAATCTCCCATCTCCTTCTCATCTGAGGAGAAAACATGCAAGGAAGAAAGGTATATAACCACGAAGCAAAAAGATAACAGAAGGGAGGCGTGAGAAAGAGCAAGCTTTGGGGTAATGTGAAGAGTTTGCAGTACAACGAATGATTGGTTTCTTGGATCAAGTGGTAAAGGAAATTAGCAGCATTCCTGTTGTTAAGGTTAACATTCTGTAAGCTTACAAGAGTTTACAAGAGTTCTACAAACAGATTTTGGAAGTAGCAAGCAATGTAAGGAGCTTTACTAACACACCCAGAAACCTCTCCTCTTCCATCAATTAAAGGGCCAGGAAGATCAACATCAGAGGCTATGGCATACGAATCTACATCTCAAGTACATGTTATTACATTTTAGGGATGAAAATGAAAAACGCTGTGATGTATAATGATTCATTTAGTGATGGGCAAATCCACTTGAGTTCTAGAAAAAAAGAAGAAGAAAGAAATCTGATGGTGTAAATTCTGTCAATTACACAGAAATGTATTGTAGAACTAGACTGTGGCAAAAGGAAGATTTGATTCCTGTTTGTGGAGGATTTATAGTTCATGTGGAGATTGGCAATGATTACATGATACAGCACATCTCCTGACATAAGTGCAGAGTAAATAAATTTAGGTCACATTTTCCACTGGGGTGACTGAAAGCACCTACCAGTCCTTGGATATTTGAGCAATTTAAAATTGCCCCAAAAATGTATATTAATGTTATTCGAGCTGAATGGGAATTAAATCAGGAACAATGGCATGTTTTTGTTTTGTTTTTTTCGATCATTTTCACGTTTCTACATGGTCTCCAAAGCAAAAATTACTTAGTTAAGAAGAAGGTCTAAATATTTTACACACTCAGTGAATACCAAACCTGGGTCAAATAAGTCAGATCAAAGTCATGTTGTTTAAATGTATAATCTATAAGGATAATTTCAGCTCAAGAAGGATAATTTCAGCTCAAGAAATACAGGATCAGTGGATCAGCAGAAGCATAAAAATGTCACATTATATTTTTTATTTATCTATTTATTTTGTTTTGCAGTCTGGCTTTAAAATTTCTTTAAGGCAGGATAAAATCCATTTATGACTCTTATCGGGCCCAGGTCTGGTGACATCCATCACCAGCTAACACCCATCATTGCTTTAGTCTGATTACTGGTAGCAGTTTGGGATTGGCTGCATTCTACAGTGTTATGAATTCTACAGCAAAGAAAGATGGACCCATCTGGCGATAATCAAATCAGTTCAAATTATGCCAGTTCGCACAGCGCAGGGAGAGAAGGAGCAGGGAAACCTGGACTCCGCAGAGGTCGAGTCTCTGGTCTCTGTTGGATCTTGAAACTGTGGACCAAATTCCACGGAGCTGGAGCTTTTGCTAGAAGCAAAATCATACCATTAAACCCACCGATCACAGGAAATGTACTGTGAAACTTGCACGAATGCAGCTTTTGATCAACTATTGACTGAAATACATGCTGAACTGCTTCTGCTTCTAATTGGTGCAGAGAAGTTTCTTGCCCAACTACCTCATGAACAGAAACTGTAAAACATGTAGCCTAGAAATTCTGTTCAATTAGTTCGACTGTGCAGTTTCATGAGCACTGAGCAAGAAAGCGGTTACAGGAAACTCATTCCATCTTGCTCATTGGAATTATATTTCTTGATTTTACAATCACGGTGTATTCCCCTTAAATAAAAAGTGGTGACAATGGAAGTGTGCCCGTGTGCTGCCTCATCTGACTTGTTGCTCACTAAAAAGCTTTAAAAAGGATTAAGGTTGAAAAAAATCAAAGATAAAAAAAATGAAGAAGGTCAACCGGCACATTGCAGCGAAGCATTTAAAACAGGTGTTAGGACATGGAAGAAATAGCCAAGATGTACAGGAGAGTCTAAGTGTAAGACTGCATACGGGGTGCCATTTGTACCAAAATTATTGACACTGTGTAGTTAGGAGTGTGTGTTCTCTCTGTCATCTCATTCATTGCCCCACCAGAAAAGGTGGAACATCTCCTATCTATACTTTTGTTAAAAAGTTCGATTAAGTCTTGTTCAGTTGGACTGTGGCCTTGTATTAAAACTTTAAATGGTTAAAAATCTGACACTGACTTTGTTCAATGCCCTAGAAAAAAAACTCATTGAAATTTGAGATCAGGATCACATATTACAATTCCGTGTCAATTTTCAAAGAAAATGCAACAAATCCAAACTATAACACAAATGTGTGGTTGTCAAAATCATGTTGTCACCAAGTACAGTTCAACAACATTTACAGCTAAACACACTTTTGGCATAAATGGAACCTCATAACTGTGTGCCCATTCTCTTAGATTTAAATACAAACCAACCTATGGTTACATTCAGACTAAATTTTCTTTTTTTTTTTAAACTTAGGTATTCATTAAAAACAAACAAACAATGATTTCTGTTCTGATAAGTGAACTAGAACAGTCTTGGCACTGGTCATAACATTTAGTTCTTGCTTGGTTAGAGTTTAGCATGTTAGGTGAGAGCGACACAACTGTGTCATTTGTGTGATGAGTGTTCCGGTACCTCCAGAAGGTGGCGCGCTCTCCTCTGTATCTGTCCCAGAACGTGGTGATGGCCCAGGTGAACGTGACTCAGCCCGCAGCCTCTTTTCAAAGTTGAACTCTGGAAGTCGGGGGGCCTGAGGACGAGTCTTCCTGGCTGGATTCATAAAGTAGCAATACGCGCAACGAAATGCTGCAGGGAGGAGGAGAGAGAAAGGAAAACACACACAAAAAAGAAATGGCGATTAGATTGCTTAAGTTTTGTACACATATCCGTGAATGTCCAGATTTTCATCAATTTGTGGACTGTACCATTTACGTGTTGTACATATAAAGATGGTTTCAGAACCATGAAAACCTATTTATCATGGAAACACTTTATCCAGGAATCTGAGCTTTCAGTGAGCTGTTGAGAAGTCAAGACAGTTTTATTGTTACGTTGCTAATCTTCCAATCACTTCTGTCTTACCTGAAAAACATCTTCAAAAATGCAGTAGTGCATTTCTGAGCTTACCTAGATATTCAAACTCTTCTTTCAGAGCCATGCCATTATGAGAAAAACACTGCTGGCAGATCAGCGCGTATCTATAAGAAACAAGACAGGACAGAGAAAAATATAGAGGCAAAGAGAATAATGATCGCTGCATTCCAGGAGCTATTCAATGAAAAAAAATACACCTCAAAAACCTGCCTCATCTTTTTCAGTTCATGATTTCCCATGATGTTTTTTCTCCAAATGGTATAACTCCAACAGACAAACATAGTGAATACTATAAGTGCAGCTGAAGAGCAAACAGGTGTGAGTTCATTATAAACTATTTCAGGCGGGATAACTTCCCACAGCAATCTATCTGGAGAAGCAGCTAACTTGGCATGCACCACCTGGTTTTATTTATGTTTTACAGTTTCTGTTGTAACTACATTTTTTAAAAACACATTTACCATACAAATAATAGATAAAATGAGCAGCCTAGCTTTTCACCCTTGTGTAATTTTTTGCTATGGTGTTCATTTCCATGCAGATCATTCAGGTACAAGCTGCAGAGCTCAAAGAATAAAGTAATGTTGCCTTTACCATGAGTGAATGCATTTATTTTGATTCTATATTATAGTACAGTTCAATACATGGCAGTGTTGGGCTGACATTGACTGCCCAACACTTCCTGTAGAGCCTAATCCATCAGTTTGAAATAAGACAATTCTACAAAGGGCTGTAAATTCAAAAAAGGATCCTCACCTGTTCTGTGGTCCATCCCCTACCAGATACTCAATGACTCTGTCCAGAGCTCCCCTGTCTTTGGGCAAGATGGGTCTAGCTAACGGAGGACCTGGAGGGTGCATACCTGTAAATAAGTCCACACATGGAAATTAATACAGACTCACATTACAAATACACTGTTTTGTAAGTTTAAAAAAACAGATTGGGTTAAAAAAACAAAAAAACAAAAACAGATTGTGGGCTTTTTGCCAGCCTCAAAACAATATAAACGGTATAAACACTAAGAGTGGTGATGTCCAAATTACTACCTTGAAAAGTTAGGAGAAATCAGGCACTGCAGAAGTTCTTGTTTGCCATGCATAGATGCCTGATTTCAAGCTAAGATGCTCTTAGAGACATTACCTAGCATTGGGGAGGAGGGAGTCCTCGGTACTGTGCCCTGTAGGACCGAAGCAGACAGAGCAGATCTGTCTGGTGGACCTCCTGGAGCTGAGAGAGGAACACGTTCTGTTGGAAGAGCGACACAAGAGATGGACACAAACTGGCATCTGAGAGAACTAAGTCAAAGGCAGCTGGCATTGCTGTTTACTACAGCTGCCTTTGACTTAGTTCTGTGCCTTTGACCTAAAACTTCATATAGATTTTGATGCTGAATATTCTTTTTACATGCATCACAAATGGGCACGGCATGAGATTTAAGAAATATTAGGATCGTTTATTATACTTAAAGTGTCTCATTTTGTCTGCTTACCCACAGGTGTGCCTGCTGGTCCCAGCAAGGGGCGTGCTCCCGGTGGAGGAGTCATGACCATTGCATGCGGGGTGCCCATTGGCATCGGTCTCATTACCACCCCTCTCTGCCGAATCTCTGCCCAGGGGGAAGAAATTAATTGAAGCATTTGGTCCTTTCCAAACATAGGATTTGTTTATGCCATCACAGAAATCTCTCTCTCTCTTTTGAAGAGCTCCACTCTTCTGATCAGAAACCTTCCAAGTAAAATTAAGTAACACTGTACAGAATTATGGGGTACCTTGTCCTGGCCTGGGAGTCATCGGAGAACGCACTGGAGTTGACTCAAGTTCCTGCAGCAAAACAAAGCGGAGCAATGTGAAACAAAATAAAAATACAATACAAAAATAAACAGATAAAATAAACATCAAGTGAAAAGCTCTCACAGCTTTCTTCTTAGCCTCAGGATCAAAACGTTCCAGGATGAGCTTGGCATTTTTGTACGTTTCTGTCTCCATCACCTCCTCAAGCTGGAAAGACAAAAAAAGGGAAATCTAAGCTATAACATCCAGGCTCAACAGGATAAGAAATGTTGAAGTAACTCGAGGAATAAAAAAAATACTGATGGGGCCAGTGATACCCCTCAGCCTCCTAGTAAATACACTTATGGTATCAATTTCAAAACACTATGTTGCTTTGTTCTCGAGTTATTGCATTCACAAGATTTTCAGAAAACTTGAGCTTGAGGCTGAAGTCACTGAGATTCAAATGCATCTGAGATTTTAGCAGATACACATATTAAGCCTTAGGGGTAAAAAAAAAAAAGGCCAGAATGATTTTCTTCTTGAAGATGCTTTCTGCTTCTCAAGGCGTGAAACTAAATAACATACAAAATAAAAGAACAGACCCAGCTCTGATACCACAGAGGGTTCGGAGATTGAGTGGAAATTTTAATCTGACATACCACTGCAAGAGAAATAAAAAATAACTAAAAAAAAACAAACAGACAAAACTGGGGGAAAACTTACAATTTTTCAATCACAGTTAAATAAAATAATAAAACTGGACATTTAACACCCAATTTTTCAGATCCAAATAACGAGATCTGACCAATCAGACCACTGTATTTGGCAATAAGCAGACTGTAGCTCAAAATACAAACCTGTAATGAATATACAAATTATAAAATAACTATTTTATCTAAGACACATGGCTAAGAGCTGCTTCAGGTCCATCGGCTCTCTCAAATTATCTCTCTGCCTCTTCAGTCCTAACTCTGCCATCAACAAAAACAGGCCGCGAAAGCGACTGTGATACAGCTTCAACTCCTGGATTAAAAAATGAAATTCCCTCTGCTGCTGCCTTCTTATGAGAATTGAGAGTTGAACCCAAAATCTGTTTATTCCTTTTCTTCTTTAGAAGCATCAGGACCAGCTCATCGTCACTTAATACTAACTGTATTTTTTTTCACAGTGCATATTTTGAGGACGAATTTCCAGCAAAAGCGCAATGCATTCATATGTGTTACACTACAAGTTCAAATGTGAAAAGTTTGTAATTTCAAACTGTTATTTTGCAGTGCATTCAGTGTGTAATGGCCTTTACAGTGAAAGACTGAATACTTACAATCTTTTTTTTGGCAGCCTTTAAATCTTCGAGTTTTTCACCTAAAAAGAAGAATAAATAACTTTAGTCAACTGGCATCATTTCCAATAAGCTCCTTTTTCCATCGACCCATGCTGTGGAAATAAAACACAGTTTAAATTATTATATGCTCAATTTGTGATTCTGTTAGTATCTTAACATATCTCAGGAACAAATTATGCTACTTTGTCTTTGTAGCATAAGCAGTATGTACTGTCAACAATAAGAGTGTGACTCGAGTCGCAAAGTTAGGTTGTAAGAAAACACATTTGTAAGCAAGGACAATCAAAATGAAATGCTTCAAATCATATAGTCAACAACCATTACTCCTCAAGCCATTTTTCAATAGGCCACTGCTCAGCAGGCCATTTTGCCTGAGCCTCCCTGTGCTCAACTATGAGTATGACCTAATTAATTATAGAAGGAGGCACAGCGCGAGCAGTAGGTAGACAGATTTGATCCAACCCAATTGTATCTTATGCGAGACAACTTCTAGCTTAACAGAAGCCTGAAAATAATATATGTGCTTTTGAGTTTAATGGACAGACAAGCAAAGGAAGACTGATAGATCACTTACTGTTTCTCTCAGTGCGTTTGGAGAAGAGAAAAATCAATAACTTTCTGATGAACCACACCCTGTTGAAGAGCCAGAAAGAAATGCAGAGAGAAGAATATTGTCTTCATCATCTTCGTCACATTCAGAAACCCTTTTCTCTCCTCACAACTTATGGAAAATAATAAGACCTAATATGAAGTGTATTTTTTACTTTGACACATTGAAAGTTATCTGTACCAGATAAAAACAAAGACAACGCTGTGAATTATTGTAAAAAGCAACAATGGCACTCACAGCACAGGGTATATGAAGAAAGGCAGGGCCATGGCTATTCTCTGCAACCAATGCTCGGGGAGGTAAAGACAGTAGACGATCAGGGAGATCAACAGGTAAAGGGCAGATGAGTAAAGTAGCAAACGGCCAACCCATAGCTGCAGACAGATACATACAAATATATCAACGAGAAAAAGAAAGGACAGCTCAAGAATACAACTATAGATCTTTAATGTTTTGCTGACATTACCTTTTGCAGACGCTGGTTTTTAGTTTTAAACTCTTCCAGCTCTTTAATCTCCTACAACAGAAACATGGTAAAGGTTATGTATACACTAAAAGAACTACTATGGAATGTATTCAGGTTTGTAGTTGTATTTGTTGTATGTTGGTGTTTCCAGGTGGCATACTACATCATATTTTTAGTAAACCTAAAATGGAATTGAAACATTGTGCAAATCCATAAAATCAGGTAAAAAATATACACAGTCAGTACCTTGTCCAGGTTCTCCAGCTGCTCAACTGTTGTTAGCTTTGCCTGGATTGCGGATAAAAGTCAGAAAATCACCATTAGCGTAATCAACTGATTTGCCAATAAAGACTCGATTTTGATTTATCAAGAGTTCATCTACAGAGGGGTCTGCAAAAAAAGCGAGATTAATGGTTTTATCATGCTATTTTGAGCTTTGAGTTTTCTGTCTCACAATAGTGTCTCTTGTTTCGCTAAATCACTGTAGTAACTTATGCTTAACACATAACCTGACTGGAGCCAGGTTATAGGTTATGATTAGAACAACATGTTTTAAGAGCAATGTAGATTTTCTGCTTGGGTAATATGGTTTATATGTAAAGCAGAACCCAGAAAGCCCACTTAAAAAGTTGATAAGTCCCATTGTGATATCCCTTACCTTTGACTGTGGTTTTAGGTTTTGAGAAGCCAGCAAAAAAATCCCGGCTTTGCTAAGCTTCCTTCATAGTATACCCTTCTGATTAACTAAATATTTTAGTCAAAGGAAACTTAAAGCAAATAGGATGTTTGATTTTCTGAGTGAGAACAACAATCAATACCTTCACTGTTGCCAAGTCTCTCATGCTGCCTGTCTGCTCCTCTTTCTTTCCCTTTGACTTGGTTAGTATGTCTAAATATAGTGTATGAATTCACCTAGCTTGGGTGCTAAGCTCAATCTGTTCATAGTTATCAAACTGTCTCACAGTAGAGTCACACAAGGCAAAACTTTACTGAGAATCAGCATCCAGAGTTAGCATTTCATTTAATTATTCAAGGCTTGTGAAGTAAAAGTAACGAGTTTGGCAAATATTAAAAAAAATAAAAAAAATAAATAAAAATTATATATATATATATATATATATATATATATATATATAAATGTAGTATATACATTGGGTGAATGTGCAGTAGTAGCAGCAAGAATTATATATATATAGAGAGAGAGAGAGAGAGAGAGAGATAGAGAGAGAGAGAGAGAGAGAGAGAGAGAGAGAGAAGAGAATATAAAAAAAATTTAAAAAACACAGTCACTTAAAACGCTGTGCATGCATAGTTGGAGTATGACTAGTGAGCTTAAAAAATCTTTTAAACCATATTTTGGACAAAGTTGACAAGCTTTTTAAGTGTTTTTTGGGTTTTTTATGGATTGGGGTTAGACATTTGACTGGAAATTCAGTGCATGTGGTTCATTTCAGAATAATCACTTGGATTCAATCCAATACAATCAACTTTTTAAATGCCAGTCACTCTGTGATTTATCATAACCAAGAAAATTTCTCATCATGTTTTTATTCAAAATCCAGTTTTCATTTTGAATTTTTCTCTGTTTCATTTTCTTGTATTCAAACATGTTTTCTGTCAGTCACTTACCTTCCATCGAGATATTAGGGCCCCCATGTTTTGAAACTACACAAGTCTTTGCTTTGATTTCTTTGGTTCACTAAGAAACACACAAACAACACGTTACAGGTAAACAAAGCACACGGTCTTTGCTGCAACAGTTACACAACTTTTGATGTTAAACTCCACGCTTGAGCCTGACCTAGACATTTATGCACTTACATCATAACAGTATTTAGGAAGCTGCCTACAAAATCACAGACAATGGCAACTCTTGTTGCAATGGATCTACGAACATAATCTCTCCCTATGGCTCTTTATACATGCAACAAGGTGGCTAAATATATCACTTTTCACTTTCTTATTTAAATTTTCAGAATCTCACTGGTTAAATGCAATGCATAGCAGTTGATTCAAGTTCCATCCTCTTCACTTTAAAATGGCCAGACCCTATAATGAGAGGAGTCTAGCCACGGCTAATGTCACCGCTGTCATTCCAGCTACAAATATTTCTGAAACTGGAAATAGTTTGTAGTTTCCAAACATGCGCAGCAACATGAATAAAGCCCCAACTGTGCTGTATTTCCGCTGAGTACCTAGCTTGCTAGCTGACCTAGCTTTAACAGTTGGGAGTCAAGTCCCTGGGCGGTCACAAGACATAACCGCTAATGATGCTGCCGAGATTTATAACTGGTATTTCCTAGCTATTTAAAGAAGATATTTCCTATTGACAGCAGCAGCAAACAATGATATAACTTGCTGTATTCCTGCTAACGTAAGGTAGTTATGGCTAGTATTAGCTGCTCATTTTACACTGCTGCAAATCAGCCACGGTAACCTAAATACTCAGAAGAAAGAAGAGCCTTAGAAAACTAAGCTTTAGCATGACCACTACTTTTTGGGGCATATACAGAACTCTGATCAAGAAAGTACGTAAACTGATGTACTAAGCTAGCTTCTATAATAACAACATACTGGTGTCGACATCAGCAGCAGGCACGCTGTGATAATAATATTCATCTTTACGTGGTCTTTTCAAATTAATACGTATTCGCAGAGGAAACTTACATTTACTCGATGTCTGGGTGTTTCTGTTCACTGACCATTCAGTAAAGTTCACGCAGAAACAAGCACATCTTGTCTGCTAATGCTACCTAAACTGACATTTCAACTGCCAACCAGAAAGAGAGTTTGGCGCGGTGTTGAGACGTAACGGAACGTATGTGACGTGGCTGGGCTGACCCATTTCCCAGAGTCCTGTGCGGTGTAGTCTTTTTCGTTTCATTTTGTGAAATTTATTTTTTTATCTAACGTTATTAAACAATCTTAAAAAAAATTAAAAAACAGGACTAATGAAAACAAGAAAGGCAGATTGGTCCACAATAATTGAAAATTACATTAAAAACACAAGTTTAACATGTATATGGCTTGTATAGGATATGCTGGTGTACTTTCATGAAGTCATGGATGTGAACGCTTTCTTGATAGTTTTCTGAGCTGCTAGTGTTTCAAAGTAGCATCTATTGCTTTTCACTTAACACTAGCTTTCCTTCCAGACTATTTCCATACATGCAGGTGTAGCTTCCAGCCATCTGGTCCATAGTATCTACACCTCCTTTGGTCTTGTTGTAGAATGTGATTAATTGTGTTTTTTCAACTTTCTGGTATTTTCATCCACCATTTTGTTGTGATACATTGCGCTCAGATGTACAGCAGCTTTTTTTTGTGACATATACAACTATGGTAAGGCTGCGGGGTTTTTTCTGACCCACTTGTGCATTTAAAGGTTAACATATAATTTGGTTTGTCAGAGAAAAACATACATATCTATCAATTAATTTGATGCTACTGCAAAACAAATGAATGAATAGGTGAATAAATAAATAAATCAATGTGAATCAAAGGAGCCATTCTCGCTTTAGAAGTCTGCTCTGTTAACTAACTGATAACTCAGCGGAAAAACCAGAGGACTTATAGGATCAGCACAAATATCTGCAGGTTGCCTTTATGTGGGTATCATCAACATATAGTACAATACAAATATATGCATATGTGTAAATTATTTTGAGAGGTAATAATCATAATATAAGGAGATGGACTACACAATTTTATAATGGGAACCAGAACCAGGGGAATGTATTGTACACACTCAGATGTTGGTCTAATGGTACCTGAAAGATTATGTTTGGAGTCTTCAAAAAGAGGTTTCAGATTTCTACAAAGCTCGCTCTTTGTTTTCTTTTGGACTTTGATTTCTTCTTTGAAAGAAGATGGATTGTTTGGGCTTTTACGGATACTACTCGCTGGAGAAATAGGATGAATGGGCTAAAACAGTGGCTCAGCTGGCTGCTTATGAGAGGATGACATATACATGGGCCCCTTGGGGCATCTTCACTGCTGTAACTTGGAGGTCAATTTAGTAGTGTAACCAAGAACATCAGAAAAAAACTGGAGTTGTATTTGGTGCTTTGTCTCCATTTTTAAGTAACAGCTACAGCTCTAATAGCCTTTTCTCTTGTCTTTGTCAAATTAGGAGAACCATCTAAGCTAAATAATAATAATACTAAAGCACTGGAGAGTATTTTCTTTTGAAATTCTTGCATCATGCCATGTTTCCAAAAGCATAAAACTGAACAGTTATTTCAGCTGTGTAATAAGACATTACTTTCTTCCATAACAACACTACAGATGAAAACATTCAACTCAGTGCCAGTCAAGCCTTTTTCTTGTAGTTCCCCTGTTTGTTGTCAGCATCTGTACCTTGAAGGCCGACAAAGCTGCAGGCTAACTTTAAATTGTAATTCCAACTCTTGCCCTTAGATGTCGCAGTTTTACTGTATGATGTGGACTTTAAACCCACCAGTAGGACTGAGAATATGTATATGCCTAGGTGTTAAACTAAACAACTGAACAAATCGCATATGTGTACATTTAGCCTCCATTATAGGTCTAAATTGTGTTTTTTTTTCTCCTTCTTTTTGATATAAACCTTTAGTAAATGAAAGTGGCTTGAAAGAAAGAAAGGAAAAAGAAAAAAACATTTGGGTTCCAGCTCAGCATCTTAATCACAAGTTCCCGTGGTGTCTCACTGTTATCCCATCGCAGGAAATGTGAAGTTGTGATATCTCACCAATATTTATTTCTCAGCTCTCAGCCGAGCTGTTTCAGATTTGGCTGCAGTATGCAGAGATTTGGCCTTCAACTTTTATGCTTCCAGCTTCCTCTGGAGTCTTAAGAGTTATGGGCCTAATAAAATTCTGCCTCTTTTCTCTCTCTC